TTGGACCCTCGGTTAGACGCGCGGCTAGAGCACAGCCTGGTGTACCTCCACCTACGATGATAGATTGTAGTGGCGATAGAGAGGTTATGGATCTAGCGTGTTCTGCGACGCCCAATAAGGGAGGAGTACAAAAGAGCGAGAACAAAGTGATACTTGAATTGGGAGAAATAAGATTATTACATTACATTAGATATAATATAAGAGTGGCCAAACAAGCGCAACGACGGCGATCGTAGCCAAGATCCGCCTGGCGGAGTCACCTCTCAGCTACAATGCCCGCCGTCACCGACATACGCCATTTCGACCCGCATCCGCCATCCAAAGCAACTCTCAAAGCTTGGTGGTCACAGTTTACTTCAAACCAGCGTTCCAAGAAGGACGCTGATCACAGAGACGGTAAGCATTTCCGCTCCACTCTCCCCCTCTTTCACGACCCCCGGCCAGAACACCCCGTCTTCGGCAAACCTCTTCAGGAAAGTCTCCGCTATGCTAGCGTCCAAATATCAACCTCAGACTCGAATGGCCGTCTCTACGTCTGGGGCTACATTCCTGTAGTCGTTGCCAAGTGGTAAGCGTCAGCCACCCGCTTCCTTCGTCCGCAGCTGAATCTCCCCTTCAAGTGGTTTATATTTGAAGGAAAACGGTGAGATATGAGTGCACATTACTCTCACACACAATAGCTCATCCATGTGAAGCAACGGAAGTGGAAGGCACATTTCGAATCAACGGCTCAAATAAACGTATGCGAGAACTGCAGGCGGCCTTCGAAACTCCTCCCAGAGTTTGTTATCTCTTTTTTAACCACAAACTGCTAATGGCGTGTCGCAGTACGGCAAGGACTTAGATTGGAAACAGGAGAACTATACTACGCATGATGCGGCTAGCGTGTTCCGCAGATACCTCACGCAGATGCCTGTCAGTGCTTTTCTGTACCTGCGATAGATTTGTTGACTGTTCTCAAGGAGCCCGTAATACCCTGCAGCATGTACCACAACGTACGTCCCCGAGTCTTCTCTCTTCACTTTATTAACCATCCCCGTCCAGTTTCGGGATCCGCTAGGTGACACTCATTTGAGTTCCATGTTTAGACTTGACCTAATCGTCCAACACAGCGAAAGAGTATTATAATCAGGACGAAGTCATAAAGACTTACAAGTCACTAATACGACGGATGGCGCAACCCAATCAATACCTCCTGCTTTATGTATTGGATCTGCTATCCGTCTTTGCCCGCAAATCGGAAAAGAATCTTATGACCGCTACAAGTCGGTTGATTGTTTGTCTTTACAATAGGGCACCCACTAACCGGATTTGACAGACCTTGCTGTAATGTTCCAACCCGGTATCATATCGCACCCCAACCATGACTTATCCCCGCATGAACACGCACTGAGCCAGAAAGTGCTTGAATTCCTCCTTATTCACCAGGACTGGTTCATGCTAGATATTTCTCCTCCGACACGAAGCGAGAAGAGCAGTCGTTCTTCAACTCCACAGCCAGGCCATGGTTTTGTCTTGGTGCCGAAAGATGGCGTAGACGACAATAATTGGTCTCATGTCGACAAGGGAGCCGCAAGCCCTGTGATGACGCGGAGAAAGACGACTCTTGAACACAGGAGCGGTAAGTGCCGCTGTCCATCTGTTCATCCCCAAAAACTTCTTGCTTTATAGAGACCGCATATGTTGATGCAGCGTTCCGTCTAGAAACTTGCGAAGGCAATTTGTCCCCTGTATCTGAAAGTCCCCGGTTTGAAAAAACCTCGTCAAATGTCGGAGTCAATCGAAGTCGAACACTACCTCCATCCCGAACCCGGGGATTCAGTATGCCGGCGCTAGGTAGTGAGAGCAACGGGCATGGCCACGCTGACAAGACGAGGGTACTTCGGAAACAAAAGCGCGCATCGACATCCCGGAATCCGTATCCAGATCGGGCAGGAATCAAGAACCCGTAGGTTCATCGGGCTGTGAGACGAGGGTGAAACCGCTAAGGTTTTCACTGTCTTTGGACTTGTTTTCTAGATTTACATGTCTCGCATTTCAACGCTGCTCTACGATACCCTCGTTAATCCTCCCCCGGGAATGTATCTGTAATATCTGACATTGGCATATGTATCCCATGGACTTTTTTTTTTCGTATGATATACTTGCTTGCTACTCGGTTTTGCCTTGGGACAATTACTTAAAGTGGATTAGTAAGCCAGTCACAATTTCCAATTCTGTGCCTGCAGATCGCGAATAACCGGGTATGATGTCACAACCGCACCGCACATCGACTGTTGTCTAAAGACAAAATCAAAGTATGGAACGGGTAAAGCTAGACCGTATCACTTTTTTCGTAGGGTTCTTGGTCGCATACGCACCTAGCGACTACTGCCATGGACAGCTTTCGCCATTCGGACGACTTTACGACAGGCATTGGTGGGACCAGTGCGAATGGGCATACACACCATCACTGGAACTTTCGAGATGTCCATGCGACTACAGGCATGGTGAGTGTCGCAATGTGATTCATGTCTCGTTGTCGCACTCGGTGACAAAGACATATATCTAAGCCTTGGGGCGACATGTCTGTGTCCAGGACGGGCGCCTCTTTTAAACCTTGCCACAGAGCAGTCTGTACCGTTTCCAGATATCCCAGCTTTTCTTCTCTCATACCCGCTTGTCCCTAATTTTTTCCACAAATCTCATCATTTTTCCGTGGACTCTATCTTCCCTTGCTTGGATATACCATTGCTCACATCCTCTGCGTAGGGTTCTACTAGTTCTGCAACCCCTTTGAACGACACTAACTTTTCTGACTCCAATTCCGATCGAGCAATGAGTCCATACGACGCCTACGATAAGCCCAGTATCGCTTCCAAGCGAAAGAGATGCGTGGTAAGTTTTTAGCCTGTCTGTATGCTTTTGGTCGCATAATGGCGAAATAAAGGTATTCAGCACGTTCATCGCCGTTTTGATCATTGGAGCAATTATCGGAGTTGCTATCGGCGTGCCTCTGTCGAAGAAAAAGACTCAGAACGATACCGCTGCGAGCGGTCCAAGCGGCTCTTCGAGCAACGGGGGCGGTAAACCACCCAAGACGTCCAACTCAGACCCTAGCGTCTTTCCTAAAGACCCGAACCTTCATCAGTCATTCTACGGAATGGCATATACTCCCGATGGCTCCCAGCTTCCTAATTGTGGCAACAGTTTAGGTAAGTGACCTTGATTTCCGACAAGCTTTTACTCAAGACTTTGTATAGAGGCGGTAATTAAGGACATCCAGGTAAACGTTACCTTGTCATTCTACAGCGTGTTTTTAAGCTGAACCTCTCGGCAGATAATGTCACAATTGACAAAGGTGAGCGTTAAGTGCGTAAAGACTTTCCTTTCGATTGACGCTTTTCAGCGTGTTCGACTCTATGGTGCAGATTGTAACCAGTCAGCATTGGTTGTACGTATCAACTCAAAGTGTTGTACCCTGGTCAACCTCATGTCTATCACCAGCTTGAAGCCATCCGGCGAACAAAAGTTGATATGCAGGTCTACTTGGGCAATTACAACGTTCCAGATGACAACGACGCTGCTTACGACCGGCAAAAGGCAGATATCCAGAATGTTATCCAGAATTACGGCGCTGATCATGTTTCTGGAATAACCGTCGGCAATGAATATATCCTCAAGTAGGCCCTTGCTGACAACGCGTGATCAGTAGCTAATTTCGTTTCTTAGTTACGTCCTCCAGAACGGCGGCGGTTCTGCAAATGGTCCCGCCGGCGATCAAGGTGCAGCGCTACTTGTACCCAACATCGACGACACACGCACTATGATACAAGACATGAATTTGAACATTCCCATCGGCAACGCTGATGCTGGAGCCTACTTTAACGACAAAGTTTTGGCCGCGGTAGATTACGGCGTATGTACTGCATTTCAATATTATATTCGAGGATGTCAGTAACTGGGATAACAGATGGCTAACGTGCATCCATGGTTCGGGGGCGTGGCAATAGACGACGCGGCGCAGTGGACCCTGACATTCTTTCAAAATACAAACGTGGATCAGGCCAATCAGGTTCCTAACAAGCCGCAGATGTCCATTGCAGAGACCGGTGAGTCGTAGTTTGGACTTGGCATGTCCTTTGCTCAGGTCCGTTGACTAGGTTGGCCAACGGTAAATTTTGATTCCTCGTTTATGAGGCGCATCACTGAGCCTGGATTCTTGTAGAAATCCTCCGACCCAGCGACTGCGACCGACGGTCCATCAGAAGCTTCAGTGGAAAACCTTCAAGTATGTATATGTTCTATGGTATGATTCGGAGTATTAAGCATATCGGCAGAAATTCCTTGACACATTTATTTGTCAAGCAAACCAAGCAGGAGTTCAGTACTTTTTCTTTGAAGTAAGTCGCACCGTGTCGAGCCTCTTTAAATTTAGCTTACGGTAATTCAGCTCTTTGACGAAGTATGGAAGGTGAGCTTCCGACCAATTACGTTGCATTCGGCATACTCACTTGTTATTTTCAGAACCAGCAATTCGGAGGTGTCGAGGTTCGTCATGACAAATTTCTACCAACATAATTGACATCATGACACTCACGTTACAGGGATGGTGGGGGCTGTTCAACTACGAGTGAGTCGATGGGCGTCTATAACTCGATCTCTGATATCAAATCTTTGACACAGTCGGACGATGAAGGCCATTACGATCCCTAAGTGTCCGTCTCCTTGAAGGCAACTCTCTTGCTACTAGTTGTATTGATAATTTCTTGCCTATATCCATGTAGAACTTAAGGATTTTTGTAATAACTACTTGGACTCATCTGCCTAAATAGAAGGAAGAAAAAATATTTTTGCATTGACCGGGAGTCGAACCCGGAGCTAGGCCATGGGAAGACCCAATGTTACCGCTACACCATCAATGCCTTTTCATATCTATTGCATCTGTATCTCTGATCTCGTATGTAATTATGTTCGGGGCCTGTCAAGGCTCAATTGCTACTCTCCGTCTTTCACCTTACGGCCTAATGGTCTAGTAGTATGATACGCGCTTCGGGTACAATCCCTCACGGTAGCCGTGAATGCGCGGGGTCCCGGGTTCAATTCCCGGTTAGGCCCTATTTTTGAAAAGCCGTAAGTTATGATTTTGCTTTGTTTTGCCGAACGCGATGATTTACTAGCTTCTAGCTTCTTCACGAATCTGAATGCGCCTCCCTGATTCCTTGCTCGAAGAAATCAAGGCAAGAGATGGTCTGCATTATTCGACTGTTGTTTGCGATTTTCTAAACCGATTTGGTGCAGAAAATGTCAAACCGGGCGGGCGTCGGTCGTATAGGCCTCACACATCTCGCAAGGAGGCACGGAAACAACAACGGCTTGACCGCAAAAAAAACAACGCAGAGTTTCATGGTATAAAGAAACGGCCGGTCGTTGACGAGCATTCCGAGTCGCCGGACAGGAAGAGAGCTAGGCAGGAGGAATTGCCCACCGACGAACACAAGGCCCCGACGGCTGGTATAATTTCAAGTACGAATAAAAAGAAAAAGTCCATCACAGGTGGTTCGCATAAGACTACGCGATTAGCTACTATCTCAAAGGCTAAGTCTCAAATTGAAGAAGAGGAAGAGACGTACATCGCGTATCTAGAGGCGAAGCTAGGATACTCGAGCCGAGGTAAGAAAGTTAGGGAGTCGGAGGATGACGACGGTTTAGGCGGTGAGTACCTTGACGCCGTCTTTACAGCTAGTGGTTCACGCATGTCTAGACCTTCTGGACTTCGCGGATTCTGTCTTTGCCGGCGAAGCATCTGCTGGTTCAAGTTTGTCGAATGTAGGGGAATGGGTTGAAGACGCTAACATTTCCGATGTATCTGTTGAGGAAGAGGAAGTCTCAAGCGGGGAAGGGGACGAGGGTGAAGATGAGGACGGTTCGGAGTCAAGTGAGGATGAATGGGGTGGTATAGAGCATTCTGTCAATAATGGAATGGATCAACATACTCCTGAATTGAGTGCAGGACCAGATGCAAGGACCTCAACAGGTACGTTGTTTTCGAATTTTGCCAAACTTTGTCGTTAACTCGGCGTATAGCAACGACAACATATGTACCACCCCATTTGAGGAATGCTCAACAGTCAAAAAATCAGGTATCAGAGGTGGATACTAGGTTGACGAAGCAACTAAAAGGCCTTTTGAACAGGCAAGCACTCCCAGGATTGACCAAATGCCCCGTCTTATTGGCCGATTGTTTTAGGATGAGCGAGCAAAATCTAGCGAGCATTTTAGACGGCATAGAGGTGATATACCGCACCTATCGAAGACACGGTGCGTGTTCATGTTCTTTGTCCCACAAGTCGTTTGATGGTTTATGCGTGTAGATGTTACATTAACACTGACAAGACTGATTATAAATGGGATTACGAGCCATTCTTCCTTGTTGGATTCCTTTGTCGTTTTGCATGCTGCGTTTGTCTGTAGTTTGCATAGGCTCATCGGCGTGGAATTTGGTACGTTAGTGTAGTATCCTGAATGTCATTCGACTGACGCTGTACCAGCTGCCTTCTTTGTGCAGAGTTTAATATCTGATTACGACCATTACTATGCAAAAGTCGGAACTCAGATAGACGCCCCGGATGAAAGCATAGGAAAGGAATGCTCAAACCTTATCGTTCTACTATCCGAGCTTTACAATTTCCAACTGATCGCCTCCCTTTTGGTTTACGACGTCATTCGTAGCCTCTTGCGGGACGAACTGACGGAGTTTGATGTTGAGCTGTTGTTAAAGCTACTCCGCAGTGCGTAACATGATTCCTTAGCGTATCGAAAGTCTCTCATTTTATGATAGATTCTGGTCAACAATTACGACAGGATGATCCAACAGCCTTGAAAGATATTATTGCTATCATTCAGAGCAAAGTTTCGGGAAAAGAGGGAAGCCTGAGGTACAGATAAAATGCGTCCTGGATTTGTCAATCTAATGACTTCAATCTAGCTCTCGGACACGCTTCATGATAGAAACGTTGGTGAATCTGAAGAATAACAAACTCAAACGCAATGCGACGCAAAACCAGGGTGGTGATGCTGTGGAGAGAATGAAGAAGTTCCTTACTAGCCTCGGCAAGAAACGTCATCGTGGGTCGACTCCGATTTCGCTCGTGGGGCCCTATGTAACCTTAAACTAGTCCATGTGCACGACGCCCTTCGAGTTCCCTTGGATGATCTGCGGAATGCAGAAACTAAAGGGAAATGGTGGCTCGTTGGTGCTGCTTGGGCAGGCGATCCTTTGGTCGATAAACAAAGCTGGCGCGCGAACGCAATCGGCCGATAATTCCAACAAGGACGATGTAGGAGAGCAACTCCTGAAGCTTGCGAAAAAGCAAGGAATGAATACTGACATCAGGCGAAGCATTTTTGTTGTAGTTATGAGTAGTGATGTAAGCGGAATTGATTCATCAACGTACTTTTTCTGAATGGCCTCTGTGTCCAGGATTATATCGACGCCTGCGAGCGGTTGCCGCAATTGAATCTTTCCCAGGTCCAACAGCGAGAAATTGTTAGAGTACTATTGCATTGTTGTGGGAATGTACGCAAGATATTGGGTCAATTAACAGCTATCTGACCCTCTGTTTCAGGAAAAAACCTATAATCCCTACTATGCCCTGGTGTGCCAGCATCTTTGTCAAATGGCTCATGCGTATAAGATCACACTACAATATTGCCTCTGGGACTTCCTGCGTGATCTGGGGGAGTCAAATGTCGGGGGCGCTGAAGTAATAAAGAACATTAAAGAAGGACGATGACCGGTTTGGCGTCAAAAGTATTTCAAAAATCCGTCGTAGAAATGTGGCCAGGGCATTCGGCTGGTGGATTGCGAAAGACAGCGTAGCGCTGACCATATTAAAAGTAAGGATCTGTTGACAATTACAATCCGGGTTGCTAACGGAGCTCTGATAGCCTGTCGATTTCACAACCGTAAAATTACAAGGAAGGGAATTCCTGCGAGAGCTTATGATAAATATCTTCATCTGCAGTCAAGTGGCGTCACCAGCAATAGGTCTAGACGTCAAAAATCTCCCTACTACCCGGAATCGAGCTGCAGTGGAAGAAATATTTATCAAGGCCACACATGCCGAGGCTCTTGGAATGGGTCTGGTCTACTTCATGACGGAGACTTTCCGTGACTTCTCCAGCCAGGATGAGGAGCTCACAAAATTGGTAAAATGGGCTAGTAGCGTCGCGAAGGATACATTACGGACAGGATTAGACGTGGTGCCAATGATATAATGAACAATACTACATTGGTTCGGGCTTTTGAAACGCTACACTGGCGCACATACTTCCACTTCGGCCACCGAACGTGTATACCGGGTGTTGAATGCGTGAGCTACCCGATTATAAGTGGGTTCTCATGCTTGGGAAAACAATTGACTTACTGGTACACTAAACCCGTTTCTGGGGCTGTGAATGCTGACATTAGTTCTTCCTCGGTGAAATTACATGCTATTGAAGTGTCAGAAAGAGAAATAGTTCCCAGATGAATCAACGCACAGGTGATGAGAAAGTAGCCCCCTGGCTTTATGAGTTTTGTAAGCTGAGCTGGGTAACGGGTAGCTGGGGATTGTCCGTGTTCGTCTTTTGCGCCCAAAGCGATCGCATCATACGTTCCCTTATCCAATACGAGATCCCACAGATTGTGTTCATGTAGGTCGTCCTTCAGAAAATCACTTTCCGTGAACGTGATACCATTGATATTTCTTTTGATTGAAATTGCCTTCGCCAAATTGATCGCATCTGCGCTATAATCTATGCCTGTTAATTTTGTTGGCAAGTAACCAGTTTTGGCAAGTGCGAACAACAGCGTCCCATTCCCGCTGCCAATTTCGATAACGGATGGCTGAGATGAATGTGGAACGTTGGACTGAGACCATTCCATCCATTTTCTCGACACTTTCAATTCCAAACCTGGACGGGACTGGTGTTTGGATGTTGATGATTATACTTGATCCTAACCACAGTACCAGATTTCGCCTTCATCACCCATGTCTTCAAAGTTCTCTAACTCTTCCTCGTAAACATGGTCCCAGCTGTTTAGCGTTAAGATGAGGATCGCAGCGGCATTTTTTCTCGAAAGGGCTCACTGTTCCTTTGTGCCAAGCTTTGAAGGCTGGAGCTCCGAGCTCATCTCTCTTGATCGTAAATAAGAAGTTTGCAGGATGGCTTACTAAGCATATGACGAGTTGGAACTTGGAAGAGTGCAGAGGCGTAAAGGTACAATGCACGACGCGTTCCGCATTTCTGGAGCTTCGAGTAGAGGTTGTTATTAAGGTGCTCGTAGATGTAAGTACAAGGTATGGTACAGTAGCTCTCCATGGCTTCAGCACATACTTGGTCAATGTAAAGCGTTATGAAAAAAAGAAAACGAACATACTATGTGAGGCTCATCGTCCTTTCCCATCCAATTTCTCTATCAGATCTTTCGCTTCATTAATTTTGCTAGCAAGGTAAGGCGAACCACCACGGATCAGGATGGTTTGCCAACATGATTTGCCTGTGGGCATCCTTCAAGCTGGTCCGAATTTTTGGGCCGTCCCTACCTCCTTGTCAGTATGGGGCATAAGGAGGAAAGAAGTGACATACTTTAGCCCAAGAATAGCGATTGCTTCCTTTCTGTCCATTTTTGACTGGAAGCCACCTTTGATCCATTGTTCTGAGGCGCCCTTACTGGATAGGAAGCCTCTCCTGACAAGGGCTCTGCCTGCGAACGCGGCTGCGAGGGCACCAACACCAATAAGGATTGGTGTTGACATATCGGACATACAACACTAAGAAGAAAGAATGTGACAGCGTCGTGTGACGAGCATGAATTGACGGCGACCGCCATCGCACACGCTGCACGTCCTGCGTCTTCGCCGACCGTCTGTGCCCGATTGGACGATAAGGCTATCAGGTGCTTCTAGGCCAATATACGTATCAGCATCAACATACAGGAATCAATCACTTTCGACACACCAATACTTACAGTTACGCTCTTTACAATGAGCTCCGGGAGTCGTCGCAATTTTACTCTGACCCAGAACCTCGTCGGGGGTCAGTTCGGCTCTGCGAGGATCCCTACAGAGTAT